CGCGCGCACCGTCTCGCGGGGTCCCTGCCCACCCTCCATCCCCGAGACTGCGAGCTGCGGGCCGGACCTGGGGGCAGGCAGACCCAGCTTGGGAGCACCCCGAGATCCACACAGGCGGGGAACCCAAGGCAGAACCCCCAGCAACCCTCCAGACTGAGTTGCTGAGAGGTTCCTGAGCGCGCAGCCACACCAGGGCACAAAATCGAGGATTTCGTGGATGCCAGGCGTGGTCATCCGAGCACTCGGTAGGCTGAGGCAAGAGAATTGCCAGGAGTTGAGGCCAACCCGAGCTACCTAGTGAATTCAATGGCAGTCTGAACTACTATTAAGACTGTCTTCAAACCCCACTGAAAGAGACAAAAACAGAGGTGGAGACCCTCAAATCAAAAACACAAACCTGAAACTCAGGTTCAGCCAGGCTCCCAGGAGCTTCAGACCTGCAGATGCACAAGAGTTCAAGCCCCTTGTGTGAGCCCCTTCCTGCCCTCAGCCCTCCTAGACAGCAGCCCTCTTCTCCTCGCCCACCTGTGTATTCACAGCAGAGGTGGGCTGCAGCCCAGACCCCGGGCCTCTGCACAACTTGGCTATTTAGTCCCTCCTCACTCCTTATAAGCAATGGCTCTTCCAAAATCCACCTTCCTGCGAACGTTCGCGTGGCCCACACTGTCTCAGTAGTGAGAATGAGAACCCTTAGAGGTCCCAAGCCCACCCTAGGAACATCCCAAGTAGGCGTGAGGCAGAGGGAGAGCAGAAGCAGACATCCATGGTGCTGAGAGGTTAGGGCTGGCCAGAGGAGCCACAGAATCTGGAGAGGGAGATTTCTTAGTCTGTTCATTCCTACATTTAACAAGTATGGCTAAGTGCAAACTCTGACCTTGAGAAGATACACGTTGGTCCCCTGGGGAGAGCTTTTCGGAAGAGACTCGGGGCTACGACTAAAGGATGAGCTGGAGTCAGGTGCACACCTGTCATCCCAGCACTCAGGAGGCTGAGGTAGGAGGATCACTGAGAGTTCAAGGCCAGCCCGGGTTACATAGAGAGACCCTGTCTCTAAATAAATGGATTAGCTGGGGCAGAGGAGTTTGTACCAGAGGAGGAAACAGGGGAAGACTCCTGCATGCCAGGAATCAGGAGGAGCAGAACAGCCAGGGTGCCCCGAGATCTGCGTTGGTAATGAGGCTGAATGTGGGAACACTGAGGGTCAATCCCAAAAGGCAGCCGAATGCTTAGGCCTGGCCTGGGAGGGAGGAAGCCACCAGTACACCCGAAATCTGGGGCAATTTTTAAACTTCTTTTGAAATTATTGTAGAACAGTACAAATGATTTCCATAAGCCCTTTGTCCAGGTTCACCAACCAAACCACATTTAGCCTCACTTCTTGTATGAGTTTTTGCCTTTTTCTTTTCTTTTGCCTTTTATTAAGTTTATTGGTACATTTAAGATAAAGAATACAGTTACATTCATCGTTGGGATCTTGTACCTTTACATGACAGATCTTGGTTACTTTTCCCCCATACCCCTGCCTCCCTTGGTCCCTTCCCTCTTCCCTATTTACAAAAACATATTTTTTCCTTTTCCCTTATTCTCTTTCCCCTACCCTTCCCACTTCCCCTACTCCTTTAGAGCTTTTCTTCCTATTTCACATTATCAATTATACCATTTGTACCTTATTTACACTTTTAGTTTCTCACACCAGAGAAACTATTTGGTATTTACTCATGTGTGTCCTATTTATTTCACTTAACAATATTGCCTCAACACACATCTATTTAGCTATAAATGTTTCTAGTTTCTCATTCTTTATGGCTGAGAGTACTTCAATTTATAGAAAAACCACATTTTCTTTATTCAGTCTACAGTTGATGGGCAATTGGGCTGTTTCCAAGTTTTAGCTATTACAAACTGTGCAGTTATAAACACGGGTATGTATGTATCACTGTGGTATGGTTCTTTTACTTCTTTTGGGAAGATACCCAGCAGGATAGCTGGGTCAAATGGGACTTCTAATCCTAGCTCTTTGAGCTATCTCCATACTGATTTCCACCACGGTTGCACCAGTCTGCACTCCCACCAACAATGGAGAAGGGTTCCTTTCTCCCCACAACCCCACCAGCATTTGTTATTGGTTGATTTGATAGCATTTTCTTCTGTTTTTTGAAACAGGGTCTCATTAAGTCACTCTTGGATCCTCCTGCTTCAGCCTCCCAGAAGGTTAGGATTATAGGCATGCACCACCATGTCCAGCTTGTCTTACAATTGTATATACAAGATATATACATATAGATATAGATAACTTTTTTGGCTCAACTGTTTGATTTGGTTTTGGTTTGGTTTTTTTAAAGCAGGGTCGCACTGTGAGCTCCAGGCTAACCTTGAACTCACTATGTTCCCTTGGCTGGTCTTGAATTTGTGGAGATTCTCCTGCCTCGGTCTCCTGAGTGCTGGGATGACAGGTGTGCACCACCACACCCAGCTGGCTCATCTGAAGGCAAACATGATGTTCCTTTGCCCCAACTACTTCTCTGAGTGTTTTCTGAAGTCAAGACATTCTCCTGCACAAACCTGCTCCAGTTATTGCAACAGTTCAGCATGTGCTGGTTGCCCGCTTTCTGCTGTGTTTCTATGATTTCCCCTCAGATTATCCACCATATTAATCAACACATCTCCTGGTCCTTTAACCTGAATTAGTTCCTCCTTCCTTTTCTTTCATGATGTGGACATTTTTGTTTTGTTTTGTTTTTCATTGTTGTTTTTTTGTTTGATGTTTGTTTGTTTTCTTGGGTACCAGGGATCGAACTCGGGTCTTTGTGCTTGCAAGGCAGGCAGCAGAACCACTGAGCTAAATCCCCATCCCAATGTGGATGCTTTTGGAGAGGAGAGATCAGTTGTTTCCAAGGATGTTAGCTAGTTTCTTGTGACTAAATTCAGGTGAACATCTTTGAGATACAGCCCCAACCCCAACCCCAAGCCTTTTTCAGAGCTAGGGATTTCAGTGTAGCAAGCCAGGCTGGTCTCAAACTCACAATCCTCCCGCCTCAGCCTCCTGAGTGCTGGATTACCAGTGTGCAGCACAGTTGCACTCAGTGGTGAATAAACTTATTCTCCTCTTTCATAATGCATTATTATCCTGAAGTGTATCCTGAAGACACGCTGAGACTGTGTGGACACCATGGTGCCCATTAAACTTTGATTCTGGTTCTGTACTTCTGATTAAACCCAGGGGTGTTTCACAACTGAACTACATTCCCCTCTCTTTTTATCTTTTGAGGCAGGGTCTCAAGAAGTCACTAACTTGCTGGAGCTGTTCAAATTAGCAATCCCCCTGCCTCGGCCTCTCAAAGTATGTGCCACCTTGTCTGGCTCATTTACCATTTCAAAGTGTACCACTCAGTGGCATTGAGTACATTCATGCAACCGTGACCTGAATTCAGTCCTAAGACATTTTCGTTACCCCCAAAGGAGACCCAGTCCCCACTAGCAGTCCTGCCTCTTTTTCCTGTTCCCCCAGCCTCTGGCAGCCACTAATCAGCTCTCTGTGCCTACGGATTTGCTTGAGCTAGACGTTTCCTGTAAGTGGAATCATGCAAGATGTGGCCATTTGTGTTTGGCCTTGAGAAATTCAGCCACAGTATAGCAGAGGTCAATTTCTTTTTTTGTGTTTGTTGGATTATTTGGAAAGTGTCTTGCAATGTAGCCCAGGTGATCTTCCTGCCTCAGCCTCTTGAATGTTGGGCTTAAAGCTATATAGGACATCATGCCTCGCTACTTCATTCTCGTGTGTGTGTGTGTGTGTGTGTGTGTGTGTGTGTGTGGTGACTGGGCATTGAAAGAGAGGACCTCAGCCTTGCCACATAAATGCTCTACCACTGAGCCACACCCCTGACCCAAGAGCTTTCTCTTCCTCCTCCTCCACCTCCTTCTTTTTTTGGTCTTTTGAAACAGGGTCTCACTCTGTACTTCAGGATGGTTTGAACTCACTATGTAGCCCAGGCCCGTCTCAAACTCATGGTGATCCTCCTGCCTCAGCCTCACAAGTGCTACGATTACAGGTGTGTATCGCCATGCCCAGTAAGAGCTGATATTTGAACCTGGGCATGAGCAACCCCAGGCTACAAGGGTGGGGTAGGGAGGAGGAGTAAATATTGGGCAGAGAAAAAGACAAAAAGTAGCGTAAGAGGGACACACACTGATTCACTAACCCGTGCTAAGTCAGCTGGCCCATGGGGCAAGCACAACTCAAGTCCCTTCTCATACCACCAGCCAAGCCTCGCTTTTGGACTCCTCAAGCCACGCCTGACCCGCTCCAGCCCCCTTAGAAGCCCCTGTCATCTCTGTGGCAGACCCTGTCCTGTCCTGTCACAGCCTCTGCCCAGACTCTTCCCTCTGCTTGCGGTGGCAGGACTTGGGCTTCCAACCTAAGCGGCAACCAACAGCAAATGTGTTCACTTCGAAAATGCACGCTTGGGCCGGGGATTTAGCTCAGTGGTGCCACGTCTGCCTCACAAGCACAAGGTCATGAATTCAATCCACGGTACTGGGAAGAAAAATTCACTTTTACCCATCTCTCATCTCAAGAAAATGAATAAAAAATAAAAATAACTACCACTAACAACAACAACAATAAAATGCACTTTCAGGCCATTTGTGGTACCTGTCCTTGTAATCCCAGCTACTCAGGAGGCTGTGGTAGGAGGATCACAAGTTTGAGGCCAGCTTGGGCAGTTGAGGTGATTTAAGGAGACCCTGTCTCAGAATAAAAACTTCAGTTTTTAAAAAAGTTTATTTGTTTACTAATTTTTGGTTCTTTGATACAGAATCTTGCTATATAGGTCAGGCTGATCTTGAACTCACTATGTAGCCTAGGCCTGCCTCTTGACTCATAGTGATCCTCCTGCCTCAGCCTCCTGAGTGCTGGATGACACGTATGCACCACCATGCCTGGCACCAGAATAAAAACTTAGCTGGGGAAGTAGCTTAGTGCAATGTCCCTAGCTGGACTCAATGCCTAGAGCTGCAGAAATAAAAAATAAATAATTTTAAATTTTAAATTTTAAAAAATAGAGGGCCAGGGATTTAGTTCAGTGGTTCCACTGCCTGCCTCGCAAGCTCAAGGTTCCAAGCTTGATGTCCGGTATAAAACAAAAACAAAAACAAACAACTTAAAGAAAAACTAATTAATAAAAAAATAGAAAGGGCTGGGGATGCAGTTCAGGGGTAGACATGTGCCCAGCAGT